ACCATGGGTTAAAAGACGTCCCGGTGGGAACCTAGAATGCTCTGATGGTGTGGGAGCTCTCAGTATCTTCCCTACAGAGGGACTCCGCTCCTGACCACAACCAATAGGATGGATCTTTGCTCTTCTGGACACTGAACGACCAGTCAGCCTGTCTGTCCTACCACTGACTAAACACGCCAATGAGTGCCCATGAGTGCAGGCTGGCCTTTAGCCTTTGCTCTCTGCCCGCCTGCAAGGCTGGCCTCAGAACCTGGACGCTAGCAAAGCTGGCGAAGCGGAGGGCTGGAGGGCTGGCTGAAGCAGTCAGAACCCCTTCTTAGGACTCCAGGCCACCAGGGAGACCCCTAAGAGCTGAGCCCAAGCCAGTGCTTCCCTACAGGCAGAGTGCTCGCAGCCAGGGGCCCACTGGCACTATTCTGAGCCCAGTGAAGTATTGGGGCATGCCACCTGGGGACGAGAGCCCAGGAAGGGGCTTTCATGCTTGAGGGCCAGTCTTTCAAGCCAGCCATGTGTGGGCGGGTCCCAGGGCTGTCGGACTACAACTCTGAGACACAGCAGATTCTCACGTGGCCAGGAAGCTCCTTCTCTGCCCCCGCAAGGTGAGGAGTAAACCACATCACATAGACGGGCACCCTATTATCCTGCAGCCTCTCCCAATCTAGCACAGGCTCTTTCCACAAGCCCAGAACCACGCAGGGGATACAGGAGAGAAAGGGGGCAGGGTCCCCTGCAGCTCCCAGCGCAGCTGAGGTGGCTCGGAGCAGGCATTTGAAGGAGGCTTACTTATCGGTCTGCACTGCACAGTCACACCCATGCAGTTATCAGCCTAACCTTCAAAAAAGAGAGGGTGAAGTAACTTACCCAGAGCTAGACAGAAAGTAGCAGAGACAGGAGCAAAAGCTAGGTCTTCAATTGACTGATCCACCCTCCACGACTAGGCAGCCCACAGGTTGAGAAAAAGCTTAGTAAAAGCACATAGGGAAGGCAGAAGACATCTTTATTCCCTGCTTACAGATAATATCTTCCTACCAAAATAAACAAGAGAATAATAGTTGAGGGAGTGGGGACCCTCTCAGCAGACAAAAGTTCAAGGCCAGCAGGCAAGAATTCGGGTGGGTGCACTAACGTGGTGCACCGCTGGCGGGGCTCGGGACGCTTGCCTTGCTGTGCTCCCTAACAGCAGCTCTGGAGCACCTGAGCTCCCAGCTCACAGAGGTAGGAGCCTGAGAACAATAATAATGACATCGATGGAATGGCCAAGGTCAGCTTGGAAACACAGGGGCAAGGCGATCCCATGGCTTTGGGCATGCGCTGGGGGACCAAGTGAGTTCCAAGGGCAGACTCTCTTGAACGAGCAACCAATAAAAGAGAGCAGAGGCAAATCCAAGGTCTAGACCAAAGTCTAAACCTATCCGCTGGCTTCTCTTGCTCGTGTTGAACTCAGGTACCTTCTACCCGCAGGTCCGGGTTCTACCCTCTGGAGCAACAAAGCAGGCCCGCCCACGGCCGCTGGCTTTCCGTTGGTGGATGACCACTCTCACCAGGCTGCCCTCTCCCAACTGCTCCCTAGTCTTCATCTCCATTTTCCCAACGTTCCTGCAAATGACACGGGTCACCTGGCACTGCTTACCCCTCTGGACCCCTGCCAGCCGACCCGAGAACACCGTAGAAGGCCCTGATCAGACACATGACTCACACACCACTGACGACAGGTGTGTTCTGAATAGAATGGGGCCACTATCCCCTTTCAGTGGTACATTGGACTTTCATGAACCCAGTGCACGATGACAATGGTTATTTTGGCAACTGTGGTGCTGTTCCACATTTGCAGGCAAATACACACTGCAGCGGTCTTGGAGACAGCTCTGGGTCTTCATTTCTCCAAAGACAAAGAGCTGACGAGGAGGGGGAATACTGGTCTCCTGGTGAAAATGCCACCAAGCCTCCTCAAACATGACCCAGCCTGAGTCGCTGGGGTGGGAAGGAGGAGGAGAGAGGGGAGGACAAAGGATGCCACTTTGTTGAGGGATTCTGGGAATCCAAGAGCCACGGCTCCCTCCCCCTCTTCTCATGACATGCGCATGGCTTTACAGGTCAAGACGAGGACATTCCTGTAGTTTTAGGACAGCTAGAACGGGGCCAACCAGATGGTACAAATGGTGTGTGCTAACCTAGAAGGTAGGGGTTTGAAACCACCCACTGGTGCTGCGGAAGGAAGGGTTGGCGGTCTGCTTCTGTTAAAGGAAAGAGAGGAGAGCTCCCTAGGCTGGCGACGGTGTACTTGATGACACCCGGGTTCTCCGCCAGGCAGAGTGGAGCCTCCATGGGAATGCTATTGCTTTATGTGGTTTGTGTGTTTGGGGGCCAGGCCAATCAACTCCCACCCCGTCCTCACACTCCCTCTTCTCTGGAAAGTTGGCTCATTTAATTTCTGAAGATCTGTCCTCACCTGCTTAACACCCAGGCCCACTGAGCACACACACCAGATGCCCAGAAGGATTCCCAACAGTGCAGAGCTTAGCAGCAGGAATAGAAAACGGTATCTCAAACTATTACCCGCTATGGATTTTTGGAAAATAGTATCTACTTCGGACCTGCTAAGTGTACCACAGTCCTGTGAACTAAGGAAGGGCGGAAGCAGGAAATCATGTCCTAAATGACTGATCACCTAGCTGGGAAATCAGCTGCAAAGTTCAGCATGAAGAGGCTTTCACAAACACTGTGGCAGGGCCAGGTGGGAGGCAGAGAGGCGTGTGATGGCCCTATGTGAATGAGGGGCCACGGCTGCTGTGGGGTTTCAGAGGACTGGGCTGGGAGCCCTGTGGAGAAACGAGAGGGGAAAGGGGCCAGGAAGGGTGGTCTGAGCTATATCAACATAAACACATAGAGAGGGAGAACATTCCAGACCAGTGGGGATGGTCTGGACCCAAAAACATGGGCAGAGGAGCCCACTCTGGTCAGGGGAGAGGGAGGGAAACTGTTGGTTGAAGCAGAGGTCATTAGCCAGACGAATCCGTGAACCCTGGAAAGGCAGACAGGAGATCAAGCTACAGAGCATTAGGATGCTGGGTAATTGTGGACTTGATCTATAGGCTTGGGGAGTATGTGTGTGTGTGTCCAAACTTTGATCATATATGCCTCTATCCGTGAACACAATGCCGGCCATGCACCCCCAAAACACGCACCACGTATGCCTGCGTGCATTATCAGTACATCCACAATGAAACACTTGAGACCAAACGTTTCACAGTGATACGACAAGGAGGGTCTAATATCTCCTTCTCATGCCCCAATAAACTTGTGGGTAGCCGAAGGCTCCCCACATGCTGGGGCTCAGTGCTCGCAGCAGCAGGGTGGCAGTGAGCTTCTGTGCCCCACAGGAAGGCAGTCGAAGCTATGATTGTGGGGAGCTGGTCGGAAGACTGAGCAGCGGGAGGTAGATGGAGGGGAGGGGGTGGCGGCAAAGGCCAAGCAGCAGCTACCACAATTGCTCAGGCAGGAGGCTGGGCCCTGGGCCCAGGTGGGGAGAGAGAGAAACACACAGGCACGACTTTGGGACAAAGAGGTAAAGATAGTACTTGGAGAAGGAGGGGGCTGGATGGGCCAGCGTGGAAAGGGAGCAAGGAAACGTTCATGCCATGCCCAGAAAGACATCGGCGCCAGGCGGAGCAGGAAGACAAACAGCTATCAGGAGCTGCACACGAGGGTCTCTGAACCCCTGCCCAGTTCCTTCCTTTGTGACGTACGGGACAGATAGATGGCAGGGAAGAGTGTGTGCGTGCGTGCGTGCGTGCGTGTGTGTGTGTGTGTGTGTGTGTGTTTATATAAACCGGGTTCTCTGCAAAGGGAGCTACCGCACGCAGGGAAGCCTTCCATGGAGAAGGTCCGCCATTGTCCTCTAACTCTTGAGCCAGTGGAGAGGATGCTGGGTAAGACACTGGCCCGCCCCAGGGAAGTCTGCCAAAGACAGAGATCTCCTTCCTAACGAGAGCCGCAGGAAACAAAACAGAACAGGGGCCTGCATGAACGTTAACGAAAGGAAAAACGGCCCCCTGTCTCTCCTCTGATAGCGACCCGCTCAAATGTAAGAGCGAGGACACAGCGAGAGCCGCGGCCAAGAGCGGTCACAACAGAGCTCCGCGGGCTTTACCCAGAGTGCCCTGGCCAGCTGAGCGCCACAGCCCCCTCATGCTCACGCTCACGGTCACGCTCACGCTCACAGCAGACTCGGCTGTGAGACGCTCACAGGCTCAGGCTCCCCGTGTTCTGTGTGCAGCTGTGTTCGGTTCCCCCCCTGGAGTTGAGGGGTGTCCTGGCTGCCTGCATTTCTCGCCGGGGGGCCTCCTGCATTTTTGTCCACTTGACAGTGTACTCCGCAGTTGCCTTTTGAAAGACTCAGCGCCAGAAGGCTAGCTGAGGTCTCAGAATAATTTGGGGGGACTTCAAGCAGCTTACATTCTGCTTGTTCGCAGCTCAGGGCACTAGTCTCAGGGCTGAACACACACACACACACACACACACACACACACACACACAC